TTTGGCTCTGGAAAGCTTATCCCCATCAGTTGCTGGAATAAGCCTCTCTTTTGACAGTTAGGCTAGGCATCAATCGATGTGTATAGTAGAATAACAGACATCATTACATTGATTTTTTTCCTCCAATCATGTTTGGTTCTATCCTAGGTTTCTGTGTCATCCAGACTGTAGGACCTGGTGCTCCAGGCAGTGTCAGGGGTGGCATGGGTTGCAGGCTAGACCAGTCATTGGTTGGCCACTCCCTCAATCTCTAGGCCAACCTTACCCCAGCATATCTTGTAGACAGGACAGACTGTAGATAGAAGGTTATATGGCTGGTTTGGTTTCCCACCCCCTCCACTTGAAGTATTGCCTGGTCACAGGAGATGTCCAGTTCAGGCTAGATATCCACTATTGCTAGGAATTAAGATTCCCAACTGGGGTAATACTTGGAGATTCCCTTCGGCCAGGTTTCTCCCTGATGCCAAAATGTAACCCCTTTAAGTACTTTTCCTCTTCCATCTACCCTCCAACCCCATCCCTCAAGTTCCCATCCTCACCTTCTCTCAGTCCACTCACAAAATCTCGTTTATTTCCCCTTCCCAGGGAGATCCAGGTGTCCCCTCATTAACTCTCATTGTTACCTAGCCTCTCTGTGTCTGGGGATTGCAACATGGTTATCCATTATTTTATAGCTAGTATCCATTTATAAGTGAGTACATACCTAGTTTGTCTTTCTTGGTCTGGGCTACCTCACTCAGCAAGATTTTTTTTTCTAGTTCTATCCATTTGCCTTCAAATTTCCTGGTGTTAAAAGGTTTTTTAATTAATTTATAAAAGTGTCATTATGAAAATATCATTTCTGGAAAACTTTTCTAATTTCATATTGTGGGTTTCCAAAAAAATACAAAAGTACATGAATTTATTCACTGAGATAATATTTATAATGGACAAGACACAACATGGACTAAAAAGAGGATCCAGTGTTAATTTTTGTCCATCTCTACATCAAAGTAACAAAGTCAACTGTAAAAGAAAGTGACTCAAACAATATTTTGTGTAAGTCTTTAGAAAAAAATACTACCTTGTACTTAAAGAAACAAATAAGCATGATAATACATGATTGTAGTCTAAGCACTCTGAAGGTAGAAATGGGACCATTACAAGCTCAAGGACTCTGTGGGCTACATTGTGGTGGTATCTTGCCTATACAAATAAAGCCTGTCTGAGGGTCAGAGAATGGAGCTTGCCACTAGCTAACCATTGGAATCTGGAGGTCTATACAGACAGAAAGGAAATGAGATAGCTGAGCAGAAACAGGAGATAAGCAGGGAGAAACAGGAACTTGCTCTCTTGTCTGTTGAGATGCTAAAGAGGTAAGGTGTGGCCATGGCTTGCTCTTTCTCTGTGATCTCTCAGCATTTTCCTCTATATCTGACTCTGTGTTTTTTTTTTTTTATTACTTAGACCAATTGAGAACTCCTTTTACATTTTGGCACTCAATGTGGGGCTCGAACCCATTACCCTGAGATTAATCGTCTCATTCTGTACCAACTAAGCTAGTCTTTTGGATGACTTTCCAGGCAATGAGATGTCTCTGCCAATTTTAGAGTTTATATATTATCCTTCTGGGGACTTTGATGGAGTTGAAGAGAGATAGTTATGGTTATGGTTTTCCTTAGTTATGATAAAAGATAGTTACATATGAAACTTTTAGACTCACAAAGATAGTATATTTTCTTTAAATTTTGCCAAATGGTAGTGGACTAAATATTGTTAACTATAGATCTTGCTTGATAACTGTTTTGTTATATATAATTTTACTATATTAAAGTTAATGCCTTCCTTTTTATTTAGACAGAAAAGCGGAGATGATGGGGGATGTCCTTCTGTATGCTGTGAATATGTTTCTCTTATTGGTTGATGAATAAAGCTGTTTTGGCCAATGGACAAGCAGGATGTAGCCACACAGGAAGAATACATGGGGCTACCAGACTAGGAGAATTCTGGGAATATAAGACAGAGGGTGAGTTGTGAGGGAGACTTAATGTAGCTGCCAAGGGAATGAGAGGTCTGGGCATCACCAGTAAGCCAAGACCATGTGGAGATACACAAATTAATAGAAATGGGTTAATAATTAAGAAAGAGCTAGCCAATAAGAAGCCTGAGCCATTGGTCAAATAGTTTATAATTAATATAAGCCTTTGTGTTTACTTGGGACTGAACGGCTGTGGAACCCAGCCGTTTGGCAAGAATTTCCACATAAAATGGTGCTTCAGTGAGCTTCCTAGTTTCAGTCTCATGCAGGCCACGGTACAGAGCACAGGCTTGAGCACAGCATAACGGATTCCCACCACAGTCAGTACACAGAGGCCATCTCTAAGCCTCACAGCATGCTGCGTGGGTGATTTAGCTTTCACTCATACAGACAAAAACAGTTTATGGCAGTATGCTACAAGCTGGTTGATTGTCGCATAGACCAGAGTTGAAGCAGTGAGCACAGCTCCCAGAGCTGGTGGTAAATGTACCCCCACCATGTTGGAAAGCTTAACTTGGTGCAGCCAGCAGCCACAACCTCCAATTTAATCCTAGCCAAACAGTTTAGCAGATTAAAAATTCATGTGGTCAGAAAAAGATAGAAATATACAGTAAAGACAAATTCAGAGGAAAGAAACCTCTAAACAGTTTGTAGTGTGTCTAAAAATATACGTAGGGAGAGAATAAAAGGATAGAGAAAGTGCTTAAAAAAGAAATAGAATAGCTGGGCATGGTGGCACACACTTTTAATCCCAGCACTTGAGAGGCGAGACGGAGGCAGGCGCATCTCTGTGATTTCAAGACCAGCCTGGTTATCAGAGTGAGTATGAGGACAGCCAAATTTACATAGAAATCCTGTATCAAAAAAAAAACAAAATTAAAAGATAAAAATGAAAAATAGACTAATAAAAAAGGTCACACATTACCTCCTTAGCATCTCAACAGACAAGAGAACAAATTCCTGTTTCTCCCTGCTTATCTCCTGTTTCCACCCAGCTATCTCACTTCCTGTCTGTCTCTACACACCTCCAGACCTCTATGGTTAGCTAGTGGCAAGCTCCATTCTCTGACCCTGAGAAGGCTTTATTTGTACAAGCAAGATATCACCACACTACATGCTGAATTACAGGCCAGCTTATACTACAGAGTGAGTTCTTATAAAGGATGGGCAACATGGAGAGAAGGAAGGAAAGACTAAAATGAGTCTCTATTTCTCCTTTAAAATGGAAAATGTTATCACTGTTAATTACAAATATAATTGAATATTCATATAAAATATATTATCTTTTTCCATGCATAGGCCTCAAACCCCCTTGCTATATCAATGACATGAAAGTAACAGTAGTAGTCATAAAACTCATTGCCAGTAGTATTAACCTGAAACCCAAATAATGTATCAAGAAAAAGTGGCATAGCTTAAGAATTTTTTTCCACCGGGTGGTGGTGAAGCACACCTTTAATCCCAGCACTCGGGAGGCAGAGGCAGGTGGATCTCTGTGAGTTCGAGACCAGCCAGGTCTATGAGAACTAGTTCCAGGTCAGCCTCCAAAGCCACAGAGAACCCCTGTCTGGAAAAAAAAAAAAGAATTTTTTTTCCCATTCATTACCTTACTATACGTGTATATGTGTATATGTGTCAGGCACTAAAGAAGGAATGTATGAGACTAAACAAGACAAGTTGGTTGGTTGGTTCATTTGGATTTTTGAGACAGGGTTTCTCTGTGTAGCTCTGGCTGTCCTGGAACTCACTCCAGAGACCAGGCTGACCTTGAATCCATAGATAGGTCTGCCTGACTCTGCCTCCTGAGTGCTGAGACTACAGGCATGTGCCACCGCCACCCGGATGAAAAGCTTTGGGGTTTTGTGTGTGTGTGTCTGTGTGTGTGTTTTTAAGTCCTAATCTTGGAAAAATTTTTTCCAATTTAAGAATAAATGGCTTTAAAAACTAGGAAAAAAGCTCAGTAGGTAAACATGCTTGCCAAGTACACTTGAGAACCTGAGCTCAAATCCTCAGAAATCAAACATGAGTATCTATAATCCCAAAGCTTCCACAAGAGGATAGGAGGAGGAAACAGAAGCTCAAGGACCAGCTAGTCCACCATATATAGCAAGAAAATGACAGAGACACTCTTAAATAAGGGAGTAGGAAAGGTTGTCCTCTGACATCCACATTTTCACTATGGCACACATATGCTTGCATTTGCACACACAAATGCACATACATGCTCAAACGATTTTTTTAAGTAATTTTGCCTGGCATGTGGTACATGTCTATAATCCCAGTAAGTGGAAGGCAGATATAGGAGCATTGCTGGTCTGCATAGCACATCTCCGCCCATCTAGGGCCAAACAGTGAGATCCTGTCAGAAAATAAATAAATAAATAAATAAATAAATAAATAAATACTCTAAAAGTAAAAAATAAGTAGCCAGAAATGGGAGTGTAACTCAGTATTCAAGCACTTGCCTGGCATGGCAAGTCCCTGGTTCCAGCACTGAAGATACTAAGTGGAAACTATGATGCATTATTTCTCATCTGTTGATCTTCTGATTTTATTTTAAATAAGTAAGAAAATATTAAGTAAAAATGGTTACAAAAGATTGGAGAAGTTTGAATATGCAAAGTGATGTGTTCATATATCCATGAATGTTCACTTATTATTATGAATAAGTACATGGGTAGGATCATGCCATCTGAAAGGATAAGACAAATGAGCCTCATGTTAGAAAGCCTAAGTGTGGAAAGGATGGCATCACACGAAGACCTTCTCCAGTGATGTCAAAAAGGGTGCAAATAGATCCACTTCTGCTGATGCTTGGAATCTATTGGATACCAAAGATCAAACCAGTAGTAAGAAGGCCATCATAAATACATTCTACTTTCCAGAACATAATTTAATGAAGTCTTAGAAGCTCAGTACTAGGTTCTTGCTCCTTGCGTTAAGTCCATGCTGATATTTATTCTTGACTCTGTTCATCTCACAGCTGCTGATGGTCCAGGAGATCGTTTCATCATTGGGGAATCCCAAGCTGGTGAACAGGTGAGATTCATAAACCTGAAAGACACTGCAGATTTCTGCTTTACAGACTTTGGGCATCCAATTCTAAGTTTCCAATATCAGCATTGTGGAAGTCTTAAAGAAGGATTAGTCAGAAGACTATCAAAGGGATAAAAGAAAGGTCCTATGTGAACCATTACTTAAAGAATTTACATCCATGTGGTATAATGAATAATTTTGTTATATCCTCCACAGGCATACCTTATAGGCATTCTCTAGCCCTATGATTGAGTGATTATTCTTCCTACAAATTTTGATTTTCTGGCTAGAACTACATGTACCTCAATGTTTGGATGTTTAAATAAGGAAGCCAGGGTGCTACTGTTGGCATCATTCTTCTATATATTACCTTAACCCCTGTCTATTTTAGGTACTTCTAAAATGGCATGATAAGCCAAGAAAGAAAAGAAGACATAGCAATAGTTTTTACCAAAACTGACACCTTTTTAAAAATTATTTATTGCTATTTTAGTTTCACATACTACTTAGGAAAAAAAAAAACAGGTAGGCCTGTGTGGATGAGTGGGTGTGGGTGTGGGTGTGGATGTGGGTGTGTAGGTACATACATAATGCCACAGTGCATAGTCAAGTCAGAAGACAACCTCACCTTCCACATTGTTCAGTCTCTTTGTTACTCACGGCTATGTGTGCACAGATAGCTAGTCTTTGAACCTTTGGGAATTCTGTTATATCACTTCCCATCTCACCATAGAGCACTGGGATTACAAGTACATGCTACTGTGCTAGCTTTTTCATAGGTTCTGTGAATTCAAACTCGGGGTCTCATACTTGTACATTAAGCACTTTACCCAATGAGTCATCTCCCTTTGACTCTTTTATTACTTTATTTGATCACTTAGCACATATTTCTATTAGATATAAATATATAAAACATCCATTTTTATAGTAAAGCCACAAAATGAGTGTTCAAGAAATATTTGACTGATCTTCAATTGAGTCTACTCAGCATTCCTTTATCCAGCACAGACATGATTAGCAGGTGCTACAGTCTAGCATATAACTTACATTAAGACATAATTTCTTCTCTTGAGGAGGCAATATAAACAACTAAATAGCATACAGTATATTAGTTATTAAACTAATGGTATCAGTCAAACATGCTGGAGTGCAGAAGAAAATTGAACATTTTAACAGTAGATGCTTAGGAGAATAACATTGAAACTTTCTAGGCAGAGAGCAGTATAGGTCAAAAATCCAGAGGTGCCTGGCCTGGCCATTTATGCCTATAATTCCAGCACCTAGGAGAATCACTGCAAGCTCAAGGTCAGCCTGGACAGCATAGTAAATTCCAAACCAGCCACAACTATATATACAAAAAAAAAAAAAAAAGGCATGAACTATTTACTCAGAGACCCACAGATGGTTTTTGTTAGCTACAACATAGAAGATTAAGGGTCTCTAAACCTCTTTCACCCTATTTGTTAGTAATTTATAAGATCACTTCTTAGTGCTTTAAAATATGTAACTTTAAATCACTAATAGTTTCTCCCAACAATTAGCACTGGATGCTTTCAGAGAAAATACTGTGTTATAAAATATTGTCATTAGATTTCCAAAGAATGAGAACTCAGTAACTCCAGTAATAAAAAGCCAAGATTTTAACTGTTTTTACTGTATATATAGGAAGCACCTAGGAAGTTTCAATTTAAGTAAGAAAGAATACCTGCTCACCTTTAGAAACTAAAGAAAACATGTCACACATCAATAGAATGTACCGTTGTAGTTGACTTCTTCACATGTCACTTTTATTGTCTGATCTAAGTAGATATATGTTTCTATATATCCAATCATATCTTTAACATTGGGTTTAATACAATGTAAGCTGATAAGAATCTTTTTTCCTAAGAATAGAGGAGAGCAAGATAAGAGATACCATAGTAGAGGGAGCCATTATAGGTTTAAAGAGAAATCTGGCACTAGGGAAATGTCCAGAAAGCTACAAGGATGACCCCAACTAACAATCTAAGCAACAGTGAAGAGGCTACCTTAAATGCCCTCCCTGATAATGAGATTGATGACTGCCTTATATGGCATCCTAGAGCTTTCATCCAGCAGCTGGTGGAAGCAGAAGCAGACACCCACAGATAAACACTGAACTGAACTGGAATCCATTTGCAGAGAGGGAGGAGTGATGAGCAAAGGGGTCAAGACCAGGCTGGAGAAACCCATAGAAACAGATGACCTGAACAACCGGGAGCTCATAGACCCCAGACTGATAGCTGGGATACCAGCATGGGACTGATCAAGACCCCATGAACGTGGAAGTCAGTGAGGAGGCCTTGGGAATCTTTGGGGCCTCTTGTAATAGATCAGTACTTATCCCTAGCATAGGAATGGACGTTGGGAGCCCATTCCACATAGAGGAATACTCCCTGAGCCTAGACACACAGGGGAGGGCCTAGGCCCTATCGAAAAGGATATGGCAGACTCTGAAGATCCCCCATGGAAGGCCTTACCTTTCCTGGGGAGCAGAAAGGTTATGGGATAGGTAGGGTGTTAGTGGGAGGCAGGGGAGGAGAAAAGGCAGAGGGAACTGAGATTGACATGTGAAACAATCTTGTTTCTAATTTAAATAAAAAATGGAGAAAAAAAGAATCTTTTTCCTGCCATTTAGAATTTATGATCTTAGAGAACAGCCAAATTTTTGACAGGGCTGGTGGCACTCCTACAATCCCAGCATGCACCGAGACTATACAGGAGCACTGTAAGATCTAGGTTAGCCTGGGCTATACAACAATTTTCTAAATCAAAAAAATAAATAAATAAATAAAATAAATAAATAAAAACAGTATTTTAAAAGCTACTTAATAACAACATTAAAAATATCTTGAGTTAGCCAGGCAGTGATGGCACACACCTTTAATCCCAGCACTTGGGAGGCAGAGACAGTCAGATCTGTGAGTTCGAGGCCAGCCTGGTCTACAGAGTGAGTTCCAGGACAGCCAGGGCCATACAAGAAACTCTATCTCAAAAAAATTAATTAAATAAATAAAATTTTATGCACACATAATACATGCATATATATCTTCATTTAAGCCAAAAATAAAAGAAAATTAGAGGGCCACCCAGATGACTTAGCTGGTAACAACACTTGTCACACAAGCATGACAAACTGAATTTGATCTCCAGAATCTACAACAAAAGAGAGAACCAACTCCTGAAAGTTGTCCTCTGATTCACACACATACACATCATATACACATGATAATAATAAAGAAAATTAGAGATTCAATTGCAATAGAACTTAAAGTAAGTTTACTGATGTAGTGCATAGAGCCCAAGTAAACTAAGGTTAACACAGTTAAGTTTCAGATTCAATAGCTTAGAGAGTAGGTTAGAGTAGGTTAGAGAGATGGCTCACAGGTTAAGAGCACTGCCTATTCTTCCAGAGGACTTGGATTTGATTCCCAGCACCCAGACAGCAGTTCTCCACTGTCTGTACCTTCAGGTCTGGGGTATCTGCCTTCTGGCCTTTGCAAGCAAATACCCATACACTTAGAATAAAATAATAAATTTTAAAAGAAGCAAGAGCCCTGCAATTTATATTAGAATTTATTTTCTACTGTAAATTTTATAGCAAGGAATTCTCTGTAGACCTATTTGAAATATTGGTGTTCCTCAGGCCCAGAAGATAGTTTGGGCACTAACCCCTCTTACAAAATACACATATCTCACATGAAAACAGTTTTATCAAAAATGAATATGCTATTAAATACTCATATATAATGTACCAAGACCTGTCTCATAATTTCTATGTTACACTTCTTGAATCTCTGAGATCTAGGTAGAAGAGGAGTGGAAAGATTATAAAAGGCACAGGTAGTGGAGGACCTCTGGAAACAGCATTCTCCAGACACTACAAGACAGGTGCACATACAAACTCAAAGCAGTTATGACACCATGAAAACCCCTGCACAAGTTCAAGACTAATAAAAATCCCAATGGGGGTAGGGAGGTGAAGTTTCACCCCTACCTGAGGAGCTGTTGGTATCTGAGTGCTGCTGGAACAGAGAAAGTCAAGTCAGTTGTCTTCAGTGATGTGATCCTGGTATATCAGATGACTCAAGGTAAACCCCTTACCCTGAGTAGTCAAGTAACACAAACTATATTTGATGGGGAAGTGTGAAATCAAGTTGAATGGGTAGAAAGCTGGGGAAGGATGTGGGAAGACTTGAGTTGGGGGGAGAATGAATATGATAAATATATTGTACAAAATTCTCAAAGAATTAATAAAAAGATGGCCCAGATTAAAAGTAGTATCTAGAATTGAAAAACAGCTTTTAAAAGACAGTAGCCCTAACTTTTCACTTTAAGTCCTATGCATTATTTTGGTAGAAAGTTACATGAATATGTAACAATTCTGAACAATATTAGAATGTCTTATTGAAATTAGAGTAAAGGGATTTAAAGCATGTAACTTGGGCTAGATGTTATCATAGTTATCTCTTTAGTGACAGGGAGAACACTGAAGGTATACACCAATAAACAATGCATAGTTCATCAAATTCTTATTATAACACATATTCATTTCTCTGTTCTAGAAATATTTATTAGACCACCAACTGTATGTCAATCACTTCCTAGACCTTGGGATAATAGAGAATATGTCTAGAAAGGAGAGGTTGTAAAGATTAATGTGGAATTGTTTCCACATTATGGGCAGAGTAAAGAGGAACCACAAAAAGGATGTAAGGCACCAAGAAGCTAGATAGCTACAGTGACATTCCATTACTACCTCTATGTTGAAAGGAGAAAAAGGAGACAATAGTACCTCAGCTTGGAGAGATTCATAGCTATGATACAGGATCCCAAAGGAGATGTGGACTTCTGTTAGTAATGATGCCCTAACCACCACCAACCTGCCATAAGATCAAAGGGAATGACAACCCTGTTTCTCTTCCCCTCCTACTATCTAATCTCTTGTGGACTAGTTCCACTGGCTAAACCTTATCCAGCCACCAAAGTGATGGGAACCTGATTAAAATAGTTCACAGAGGTCAGCCTTCTGGGCAGGAGCAGAGTTTACAAAACAATGGTGTGATCTGCAGAGGCAAACCAAGTAAATAAATTTTTGCCTTGGTTGAACATAAATTCCAGAATATATAATTAATATTTTATCTAGAGAGAATTTAAGAGTTCAAAAAATATTAGCTACTTTGTAGTATTTTTGTGATGATAATAATACAGACTTTTTAAGGCTTTTCTTACTATACAGTCTAATATAGAACATTTAGACATGTTCTTACTATAACTTCTTGTAGGGGAAGCTGTAGCCACGCCTTCTTAGGGGCTGGCTACAAGCTTCCCCTACAATTCCCCTTTTAGTCTAACTTCTTACTGATCTTATTATAAAGTACTTTATACTTCTGGTAGTGGGATAGTTTTCCTTAATCTTTGTCTAAGGTTTGCATATGCATGGTGTGTGTGTGTGTGTGTGTGTGTGTGTGTGTGTGTGTGTGTGTGTGTGTGTGTGTGTGTGTGTAAAGAAGAATAAAAGGTACATGACATGGGACTACAGGGATGGCTCAGCAATTAAGAGCACTTACTGTTCTTACAGAGGACCCAGGCTTAGTTCTCTGCACCCACAGAGGCTTACAACCAACTGTAATTCTAATTCCAAGGTATCAAATGCCCTCTTCTAACCTTTAGGAACAACAGCTCCTCTCATGGTGAACATACATACATACATACATACATACATACATACATACATACATACATACATACATACATACATACATACATACAGGCAAAACACTCATATACATAAAATCAATAAATCTAAAATATTCTTAAACAGTTTTTATGTTATCTCAGGATTTTCTTGTAAAGGTAATGTGATGCCTTCTTTCTTCTATTCTGCCCTAAATCATGGCCTCTGACAGGTGACTCTTGAAGCCTGTTCAGCCTATCAGACGGATAAGGCAGAGACATACTTTCTGCATTCTGCATCATTTCCCAGTCAGGTCTCTCTTGTACACACCATCTGTACAAGGATTTAGACAATAAGATCAACTTCACTAGTTGTCCTCTTATTTGTACACATATATTATGGTGGACATGCAAATATAAAATAAGTAGATGTAATTTTAAAAATTTTAAGCTTCAGAAATTAAAATTTCTTTTTTGAATTTAAAAACAATATTTTATCCAGATTATTACAAGCACTGGGATGCTTGAGATGTTTTTAAGTCGTTTAAGTCTACATTTTAGACTTTTATTAACTGATAAGTGAAATACTGAGTTCTAGGAAATTTTTCAAGTGAAATAATTAAGATGGCTTTCCTAATCACCTTGATTTGACCAAAAACTTTACTTAGTGAAGTACCATATTTGTTAAACAACAGAACTTCATCCAATTACTAAAATGATGGGTTTTCATATTTGTCATTCACAATCTCCTGTGACCTAGAATTTTTTCAGACTTTAAAATAACTTTACATTGACATTCATATTATTTGAATGAGAAGCAATAAGGAAAATATAAGTGGCAGTTCTTCAAAACAGGACTCCAAGTAAGTACTTTGAAGTATAAATAAAGTCAGCTTAAATCAAGTTGCAGACTTAGTTGTGATTCAGTTGTTTGTGAACAGCTGCATTATGGGTATGGCCCTGAGAAAAACTCTTAACAGTTTTCAGCTGGGCAATGGCGACGTACCCCTTTAATCCCAGCACTCAGGAGCATCTCTGTGAGTTCAAGGCCAGTCTTGATCCAGGACAACCAAGGCTACACAGAGAATTCCTGTCTTTTTTTTTCTTAAAGATTTATTTATTATGTGAACAGTGTTCAGCACCAAATCTCATTACAGATGGTTGTGAGCCACCATGTGGTTGCTGGGAATTGAACTCAGGACCTTTGGAAGAGCAGGCAGTGAGTGCTCTTAACCTCTGAGCCATCTCTCCAGCCCCGAGAATTCCTGTCTTGAAAAACAAAACAAACAAACAAACAAAAAACTATAAGACTAATATATCCTCTGAGTATTTTCCTGTGCAGCAACTAAATAACCAACTGTCATTTATGTTTGTATTTCCAGCCAACTCAGACAGTAATGCCAGGACAAGTGATGCGGGTTACAACAGGTGCTCCAATCCCCTGTGGTGCTGATGCAGTAGTGCAAGTGGAAGATACCGAACTAATCAGGGAATCAGATGATGTAAGTCACTAACAGATTCCTGTGGCAGGGTTAGAGATCATACTCAGTGTCTTCAGTGTTCATAAGATTAACCTGGGATTTGGGGAGGGGGTATTAATGATGTTATTTTGGTATGGGGATCTTACATCGTAATATGCAGGTCTCCAGTAAATAAACTGCCTTAAAGAATGAAAATATTTTGACATGGAGGGACTTTTATGCTATTATTACAGTAGAATTTGAACCATGCTAAACATGAGAATTTTCACATGCAAACAAAGAAATTATTCACGGTAAAAGAACAGTGATATTAATAGTTGGCATTGAATTCTTGCCATTGAAAATAACTTCTGATAAAGTGTGAAGGTGTTCTTAGAATATAAATTAAATATATAGGACTTTAGCAGAGAATATTTGGGCAAGTTCTTGAACCAAATGACCTTTTACCACTGGTTTTCTGTTCAGGGAAAAGCTGTTTCTTCAAACAGAAGTCTAGAAATGTTGAATTTGTGTCGATTCCATCTGCATTGGCTCAAATAAAGGACATTTGCAGGACCTAACTAGATTGTTTTCTCAATGAAACTAATAGCAGTTATTAAAACCAGACTACTGGGGCTTGCCTTGGCTATGTTTCTATTGCTGTGATAAACACCATGCAGAAGCAGCTTGAAGAAGAAAGGGTTTATCTCAGCTTACAGATCACAGTCCTACTGTACCAGGGCAGCACTCAAAGCAGGAACCTGGAAGCAGGAACTAAAGCAGAGGCCATGGAGGAACTCTGTGTGCTGGCTTGCTTCTCATGGCTTGCTCTGCCTGCTTGCTCCACATGCCCAGGGCTGGCACCACCCACAGTAAGCTGGGCCCTCCTACATCAATTATTCAGCAAGAAAATGCCTCACAAGCTTGCCTACAGGTGGAAGCATTTTCTTAGTTGAGGTTTTTCTCTTCCCAGGTGACTGACCCTAGCTTAGGTCAAGTTGGCAGAAATATAAGCAGCATAGGCTGGAAATAGTTCAGTAAGTAAGAGTACTTCTTGTTCTTGCAGAGTACTCAAGTTTGTTTTCCAGCACACACATGGTGGCTCACAATTGTCAGTAACTCCAGGTTCAGGGCATCCAACACCCTGTTCTGAGCGTGAGCACCAGGCCCACGTGGTACAGATACATACATCCAGACAAAGAACTCCTACACATAATTTTCTTTTAAAACAGACTATTAGTCATGAATAAAACTAAGAAAGTTACAATTTTTTATAGTTTTATTGAATGGTAATTATACCCATTTTGTGAAGCTCTAGGAATTATACTCTGAAGTAGAGATTAAAAATAACACATATTATTTTTTTCCTTTTTGATTTGTTTGCGTGGTTTTGTTTTGGGTTTTTTGTCTTTGTTTACAATAGGGTTTCTCTTTATAGTCCTACTGTCCTCTGTAGACTAGGCTATCCTCTAACAAAGAGATCCACCTGCCTCTGCCTCCCGAGTACTGGGATTAAAGGCATGTGCCACCACCACCCAGCAAAAAATAATATATATTCTTATAGATTAAGTAAATAGTAAAATACAACCAAGCTGAGATGACCACCTTTCTTGGTCTGGAGATTATCTTCCCTCATGTATAAAATTCAATTTTTGGCATAAAGATCACATTGCCTGCTTTTAAAACTGTCCAAGCAGAGATTTATTATTAGCATCAGGGATGCCTGCATTGAAATCCAGAACACACACATCCTCCAACTATAAGATGACAAGACACAATTCCAGTGTCACAATATTATTTACAGCCCATGAATGTAAAATTGATGGTTACCATGAAGTTACAGAAATCTGCTTCTATGCTATAAGTCCTTCACTGAAATTAGGATATAGTTTTCAAACCATGAAAATTGGAGGAAATATTTATTTATTGGCACAAAACCTAATTTTTCAGAGAGTTAGCAAGTGGTTTTCTGTTCTTCTGTATTTGTATATATTCTGGGCCTGTCTGATGATAAAGTATCTGAGAAGCTCATTCCTATTGACTAGAAATTCTATTAGACTGTATTATTTGAAGTTGCATGACCTGTTCTAATTATAGGGTACTGAAGAACTTGAAGTGCGAATTTTGGTGCAGGCTCGGCCAGGTCAAGATATCCGGTAAGTTCAGATATACACAATGTACAGCCTACTGTGTTTCTACATGATCATAAACTCAGGAGAACATGATTATTATAAAACCAAAGCTTTGTCAACTAGCCATTGTTTCTCAAGCTTTAACAAGAAACAAAATGAATTTTCTGAATTTTATATCCCATGTGCAATTTAAATGAAAATAGTAAAGTTGAATAAAACTATCAAAATAAGAAAAAAAATTAAGTTATATGTACATATACCCACAGTTAACTCTACCTCTAGCTGATCCAAAATTACTCAGTCCCAACTCCTAGATTATCCAGAAATTGGAATAGAGATGATAGGGTATTTATACAAGTAGTTAATAGTAACACCCTCCTCAACCATCCTTAGTAATATAATAATTTGCTATTTCTTGCATGTAAAGATGAAGTTTCTCTCCTACAAAAAATATTATGCATAGTTTGAGTTATTTTTGTTACAGTAGAAAATGTTTACCAAAATTCCATCAATACTAATTTGCCTAGCATCCCATTGTAGCAAAGCTATGCTTCCAGCAGCTTTATGGCAGGAGGCTAAGGTGTGTATACCAAGGAAAGTGATCTCAGATCTGGACCAATCTAAGGTGTCTACGTGGAAATCACTCTAACTAACCTTATTAACACCATTCTTATCACAGAGCTAACCAGCTATGAATCTCTGTTAATGCTGCTAGATATTTTCATACAAATCTTTGCCTTGTTATCAAAGATGTTTGAAATTGGTAATTTTAACTATAACTACAATAAAAAGAAAAATATAAAAAATATAATGTAACTTTCAGATGTAACATATTCTTGTTTAGCAATCATAAATATAATTCCTATTCTGTCTTATGTAGTGTGATATAACTTCTTAGAACCTCTTCATTATTGGGCTCCTGACTCATTTCTGAACTTTTTTCTCCCCTGATTGTCTCCTCTCTCTGATACTAAAGTTTCCCCCTGAGTTGAGAAAATGTTCATCTTAACCATAATGCTTATGGTTCTGCTTTGACTTTCAGACCTATCGGCCATGACATTAAAAGAGGGGAGTGCGTTTTGGCCAAAGGAACCCATATGGGCCCTTCAGAGATTGGTCTCCTTGCAACTGTGGGTGTCACAGAGGTTGAAGTTAATAAGTTTCCTGTGGTCGCTGTCATGTCAACAGGGAATGAGGTAAAAAAAAAAAAAAAAATAGAGACTTCCCCATTCTTATATAAATAAAGGTTAGCTGCAAACTGTAGATAACAAACTGTATCTTGTTATCAAATGGTAGGCCACCATCCTAGGAAGTAAATGAATGAAATAGGTATCATGGCTTTCCTGTCTTCTTAAAGTTCTGTGTGAATTTTGATCATTAGAGGGTTTGATAACCCTTTTTTGATTTGGTTTGGTTTGAGGGTTTGTTTGGGTCTCAAGTGAAGCATCTCTAGTGGTATGCTATTCAAAATGGATCCTCATGTCATGTCAATCCTTGTGGGGGTCTTACTGTCTTCTTTTTTTTTATTTTTATAATTGTAATTAGACCAACCTTAAATTAGAAACAAGCTTCTTTTACATGTCAATCCCAGTTCCCTCTCCCTCCCTTCCTCCCCTGCCCCTCACCAACCTCCCTATCCCTATCCCATTTTCTCTCTGCGCCCCAGGGAAGGTGAGGTCTTCCATGAGGGATCATCAGAGTCTGTCATATCATTTGGAGCAGGGCCTAGACCCTCCCCCGTGTGCCTAGGCTGAGAGAGAATCCCTCTGTGAGGAGGGGGCTCCCAAAGTCCATTTGTATACTAGGGATAAATACTGATCCACTACCAGAGGCCCCATAGATTAACCAGGCCTCCTGACATCCACATTCAGGGAGTCTAAGTCGGTCCAATGCTGGTTTCCCTGCTATCAGTCTGGGGTCCATGAGCTCCCTCTTGTTCAAGTCAGCTGTTCTGCTTTTATGTCAAATATATTTCATTTCCCTAACCCTACTTAAGATCTTTTCCTCCCTTATCATGGTCCGTGTTCTACAAAAATCTCACACACACACACACACACACACACACACACACGCGCGCGCGCGCGTGTGTGTGTACATGCAAATATTCTCCACATATGAGATAAATATTCAGTATTTTTCTTTCTGGACTTGAATTTTGTTTTACTTTACATAATATTCCCTGTCCCATCCACTTTATACAGATATCAGGATTGCTTTTTTGTGCAGATGTTTTTAAATTAGCTTACAAAGGAACTTGTTCTCATATACTGTTTTCATTCATTTTACATTTCGGGTGATTCCCTAGCCCTCCTTTCCCCGCTGTATTCATTTTATTCTTCCTCCTCCTGCTTTTCTCTCTTATGTTCTTCTCCTTCTCTTCTAAAAGCTTTTTTTTTCCCATTCTCATGGGCCTCTTCATAGTTTCTTGGCCTTTACTATTTTTTATTACCACCAACATAAACATATTTATGTCTGAAAAAGATCTAATTTGTCTGTGTACCACATTTTCTTTATTGATGGAAATGTAGGCTGTCTCCAATTCTTAGCTATTATGAATAGTACAGCAACAACAACAAATGGCTATGCAAGTATGTCTGTGGTGTGCTGATTTGGTCCTTCAGGTAAATGGTAGAGCTGGATTACATAGTTCTATTTTCAGTTTTTTGAAACTGATTTCCATGGTGGCTTCACCAGTTACCATCCAAGAAACAATGAATAGTTTGTTCTTTCCCTACATCTTTTGCCAGCAGTTGTCGACATTTGTTTTCGTGATGGTTCCAGTCAGACTGGGGTGAAATGGAGTCTCATAATCATTAAAATTTGCATTTCTCTTTGTACTCTTCTTGAATCTAATGTGATACAATATGGATGCCTTCAGAGACAAGCAAGACAGTTGCTTTGGCATCCTAAAGAATATCATACAAGAGGCTGGAGAGATTGCCACCTTAGACCCAGGTTTATTTCCCAGAAGCTGCACAGTAGCTGAGGACTGTTTATAACTCCAGTTCAAGGGGATGCAGTGCCCTCTTCTGGCCTCCACGAGCATTGCACTGCATGCACATGGCTCACAGATATACATGAAGACAAAACACCCACACATATAAAATAAAAAATAAATAAATTTAAGAATGTCACACAAAATATCTGTGCATCTATTTAAAACCTGCCCAGTGTTTTATGAAGCTATAACCTTATTAAGGATGCAGGAATTATGACAGAATGAAATAAATAGAATTATTAACTGTCATTTATTTCAAAAAATGTACATGTTAAAATTTAGGCAGTACTATTAAGTGATTATAAGTATATATTCTTTTTTAATCATTTTTTATTTGAATTAGAAACAAGATTGATTTACATGACAATCCCAGTTCCCTTCTCCCTCCTGTCCTTCCCTACCACCCACCCCCCAACTAAAACCCTACCTATCACATACCCTTTCTTCTATTCTTCACCTGACTCAACCTTTCTGCTCCCTCATGACCTCTGCATCCTTCCTCTTCTTCCCTTCTCATTCTCGTAGCTCCCTCCCCCCTCTTCCCATGCTCTCAGTTTGCTCAGGGGACCGTGACCCTTTCCCCTTCTCCGGGGGACAATGTTTGTCTCTTTTCGGGTCCTCCTTGTTTACTAGTTTCTCTGGCAGTGTGGATTGTAGGCTGGTAATCCTTTACTCTATGTCTAAAATCCACATATGAGTGAGTATAAGTATACATTCTTAACCTCTGACATTGTGTGTTCGTGTGTGTGTGTGTGTGTGTGTGTGTGTGTGTGTGTGTGTGTGTGTGTGTGTGGTCCACTCAGATTCCAGGGCTGAGAGGTATTGCTAACTGGTAGAGCATTTGTCTTGCATGTATGAAGTATGAATCCCATGGACATCCAGACCATGTGTGGCGGCAGAGGCAGGAGAACTGACACAAGTTTGAGGCTGGCCAGGTTTATGAAATGAGTTTCAGGACAGCCAGTAAGAATCTCTCTTAAATTTAAGAATAATTCTTAGGAAAAAAAAATCTTGAGCCAGTTTTCTTAGAAATATATTGAACAAGAAACAGCATCAGTCAGGGCACCACCAGTTGTTGATAGCTTTCTACTAAGAAGAATGGCTCATAGCAATCCCAGTAACCTTCTGTAGCTACACTGTTTATTCTGCAAGTGAAGCTCAGGTACAAGAAAATAAGACTCATACTAAGAAATGCAGGAGATACCCTTGCCTAGAAACGTCATGTTCTATGAAGGAATCAGCATTTTTTTATAATAAGCTTGGGCAGTTTCCAAGATGTCTATAAAGTAAATAAATAGTACAAGTGTCACCATACAGAGGAACCTAAAGTTAAGACTTCCCACTAGGTATGTCTGGTACTTTCCAGTCCACATGCATGGTATCAGAAATCACTTTTCATGGAAGAGTGAGACTACCCTGGACTGCATGAGACCCTGTTTCAAAAACAAAGAGCAACTACAGAAGAAATGTTGCCTGGTAACAAACTGACATTTAATCTTTAACAAATATCCATGGGAACAGAACTAGAGAATGCACTGTCTATAGAAAATATGAAAACAATAATAAAATGGACTGAATGTCAGTTTGCTTTTTATTAATCACCCTGAAGTGGCTATTTTAAACAATGTCAATTATAAAACAGTCTATTGGTGGAGAGAATATATGTCCAACATACATAATATTCCTGTAAGAAAACATTGAAATAAATTTTAAAATACCTGTCTCCACTGCCTTGCACTACTCCCAAACCCATCCCTACTTACTATGCTACTAGTACCAGGCAGTGTTCTGATACAGCAGGTCTGTGATAGGCAAGAAAGATAAACTCCATATTCATACACAGTTGAGATTCTAACTGTAAGTAGTCAATAAGCAAATAGTATAATGGCACAAATAGAAATAGAGGGTAAAAATGATAAAGAATGGCCATAGACACTATTGTCTGTTGAAACTTATCCAACACCAGCCCTAACTATTACAATTATTGTGAAAGTCTGTAAAGTAAATGTCTCGGGCTCTCTTGACAGCTGCTGTCTAGTTACTAGCTTTTTGGATATTTGAGATAGAGTCTCACTATATAGTTCATACTGGTCTCAAATTCATAGCCCTCCTGCCTCAGTCTCCTGAGCACTGGGATTTCATGCTTGTGCCACACTAAGCCTCTACTTACGTTTTGCTAATTGGATGCATTTACGTGGCCATTGATGATAGAAAGAAGGTTAAAGCAGAAGCAGAAGCCCAGCTCTTAGCCCATCACTTTGCAGCAGCCTTGAACACAAAGGCAGCTTTCTGCAGTCACTAGTCTTTAATAATGCCTCCAAGTTTTGCAGCACATTTATAACCTTTTATTAATACAGTCCCTTGTATTTAAAAGTCTTCTCCCACCTTTTTTATTTGAAATACCTAGATGAGTTTTATTTTCTTGTCTGTACCTGATTGGTAAAGTCTTCTGTTATAGAAAGGGTGATTAGGGTTGACTGCTGAAGTGAAATTTGGTATCTACAGTACTTGCCACGTGAGAGAGGTTTATTCTAAACAGATGAACAACAGAAGGAAGACCCTGAGGTGGGTTACACATTTATCATATCTGAGGAATAGCAAGGTCCATGTGGCAGTAAGAAAAGTAAAAGGTGTATAAAAGAAAAATGAGGTTGGAAAGGTGATAGCACATACACCATTTTAATCTCAATGCCCAACTTGGAACAGTAGAAAAATAGCATAGAATATTAGTAAATAGAATGAGTCTTAAGGCATTGACTGTGTTCTGTTACATGGTGTAGCCTGTAGGAGGGACAAGGGATAAAAGGTAGGCTATGAGATGTACTGAGAAAATTTCAAAGAAGTGCATTGGAGAGTTGGTGAGACATGCCAGACCCATAGTATATTTTGAAGATAAACCTGGCATATCTTGATAAGAAATTTAAAGTAGAATATCAGAAAATATAGGGAGTCAAGTTTTTACCTAAGCAAGCCTAAGGATAGCTGTTTACCTAGTAAAGGCTAGGCAGTAGAAACCAGGACTTGTATTTTGAACATGTTACAATTAAGGTATCTATTAGAAATCCCACTAGAGGTTCCACAGGAGGCCTACACGCCACCGATTGTGCCGCCGCCATGTCTCTAGTGATCCCTGGGAAGTTCCAGCACATTTGAGAGTACTCAACACCAACATTGATGGGTGGCAGAAAATAGCCTTTG